ATATATGGGTGTTTCTTCCTTTTTACTTAACACAGAAAGAAAGAATGACACTTAAAAAGAGAAAACCGGGGTTCCCAATTAAGTCAAAAAGTTTCCCTCTTTTATTTTTTAAGATGATTGGATAAAATAAGTGGAATTCATATCATACCATGAGCAAGAGGCGTTTAACAGGAGCAATATCAAAAGCCTGAAGAAAAGTTTTCCTATAAAGTTTTGGGAAATGAGGATTAAGCCAAGGACCCAAAAGAAGACCATGCAATCGATCTTCAATGCATAGAATATGACACATGACATCAACAAGTCGATCTTTTCTGCTAATTTTTGAATCAAAACCCATCACATCACTTGTAAAACTCTCCAAAAAAGCAGCATTATTTGCAAAGAACAAACAATTCCCATCATCAGTAGGAAACTTGCAAGCAAGACACCACCCACATTTCTCTTTCCTAGCATCCACACTCAAATTCCTGATATTTGACCAACAAAAGTCAACCGAAGTCTTGGAGATTGATTTCATTTGTATTGAAATCAGTTCCTCAAGTGATTTTGAAGGCGTTTGAGGGGCTTTTTCTGAGGGCTTTCTGGTCCATTCTCCCACAACTGATGAAGCAACTCTAGCAAAGCTGTATAAGTTCAAATAATCTATTTCTAAGTCGGAATCTTGAGCCCCTGAAATTGAGGAGTTTTCTTCAGTGAGGGTATTATCGTCATTTTCAATTCTTTGAAAAGTTGTTCCATGAAGTTTCTCATATGAATGCAGGTGGTTGGTGATGGCAGTTGATATGGTTTCATAAGGAGTGTCTGATAATTCAAGTGCATTGATCAAAGGAGTCAAATTGTTCATATCATAGTAATGAAATGACTCAGCATCACAATTATCTGACCTGTTAAAATCATATTTAATTAATCAAGTTATATATATATGGATTACGGAATGAAGAAAAGAAAAAAAAGAACTTACACCAAAATGTAACCACAGGTGCTATAATAAAACCTTCCATGTGGATCAACTCCCAATAACTCTGCTCCTCGAATTGCCTTCACCACATCAATCCTAAAGTTTTTCTTGTCCACTACACACTCAGGGCAAAACCAATCGCCAGGTGGCAACAAATTAGTGGCTATACCTACACACTTTGAATGAAAAGCAGCAGGGCAACCATCACAGCATATTAAGTTCCCATCCATTTTACATAGGCAACATTCATCACTGTTCCAATCTGATGTTTCCTTTTCATCAACAACCTGATCAAATTGATGTTTCTTTATAGAAAGAAGCTTTGTAGGTTGATCAAAGTCACTGTATTCTATTCCTATTGTCCTTCTATTAAGCTCTGAAGTTATAGCTTCACTTTCTACCACATCATCACAAATGAAATGCAATACTTTTAGCTTTAAAGATTCGGGTTGTTTGTAGTAATCGTTCTTGAACAACTTCAAGTGAGTAAGATCAAATTCGGGTTTCAAGAGTAGATATTCAACCATAAAGATTGGCCACGTGATTGAGTCCAGTAGATCCCAGTTAAGATCCCTATATTTTATGAAAATGAATCAACAAAAACAAACAGCTCAGATTATACAGAATAAAAGACAAAAGGGTTAGATGCAAGAAACATTAACATGCTTTCACTTGTGTATTGTAATACCTTAGGCAATTGGTAGATGATGTTGAATTCTCAATTGGTTGGAACTCTAAATGCTTCCTCAAAGTTCGTAAAAGAGAAACATGAATAGAATCAATCAATAAGGTAGGAGACTTGCTTCTAATGGATGCCACAAAATCGAAGAATCCAAATGGACTTAAGAATAATATTGTACTAAATGACCTCAGGAAAGTATAAACAGAGAAAAGATCAAATAGTGGAAGGCCATCAAGATTCACATTTCCTGTAGATGGAGGTAACTCAAGCTTTGAGGGAAGAATAACAGGTTGTTCAGATTCTTCAGATACAGAGATTGCAGGATGTTCCTCTGAAACTGCACTTATAACTGGAGATGGTAATGGTAATGGTAATGGCAATGTATGTTCATCACCTTCAAATTTAATGGAGCTTGATTCATGAACTTCACTAGAAAACTTAGCTCGCCTTCGAGCACTCCTTCTTAAGGCACTTTCTGCAGCCATTTTTGGAGAATCCATAAGCTTTCTTCTCTTTCCACCTCTTGTTTTCCCAGATTCCAAAGTTCCATGATGATCAGTACTTGAAAGATTAGTTGTTTCATTTCCACCAGAATTAGCTCCCTTTACCTTTACATAGCCACCAAGATCAATGTCTTGGTTCTTGTTTTCAGGGTAGTCTAAGTCCATATTCAAGTCAAAAATCTGTTCTTTCTTAACAGAATGATCCTCCAAGTCTTTCGATTTTGATTCCTGATCATTTTCATTATTCAAATCCAAATTATCATTTCCCTTCCCATTGTTATCCAAATCATGCATCCCGGAGTTTACATTCAAACCAACATCTTTAGGAGTCAAATTCTCACCATTCGTACTAGCATCGTTATTATCGTTACTGCTAAAGTCCAGTTTTTTAGTCAAATTCTTAGCGATACTAACTTCGCTCTTCAATTCACCTTCAACAGAATCCAAATTATTATCATCAGCTACAACTGCATTACCAGAAGAAGAAGAAAAATCGTTTTCATTACCTGAATTTGAAGAGCCAAGAACCCTACGCCTTTTTTTAGGTCTTTTCCCAACCCTAGATGATTTCTTAGTCACCAGAGATGGAGAATGCTCCATAACAACTCCATCTACTTCCAAAAGAGCAGCCAACTCGGAGAAATCAATTTCTTCAGAATCACCATCTTCATAGCCGATTTCGAAAAAACCAGATGGGGAATCGTATGATTTCACTACTCCGGCGAAAACCCCAAATCCTTTGAATTCTTTCCTCACTGTTCTCCCCACAAACTCCATTTCTTCAAACAACAAATCTTCATAAGTCGTAAAAACAACCGGAGCACAATTCCCTTCCCTTGTACTTTACTTGAATTTGAAATAGATTAACATCAACCACTTTCTCTCTCTCTCTAGAAATGCATGAGTCGACTAACTACCTGTACAGCTTCTCTTGTAGATAAATATAGAAATTGGAAGGGCAAAGGTGAGCGTTTTGGCCTAGATCGCAAATTTTAGCTATGCTGTGTCGAGTCGATTCGAGTGGAGTACCCCGATTAGAAGGGGACTACAACACAACTACGGCCTTCCCTTTTTCCCTTTTCCCTTTTCTTCAACATCGTCTTTAGTTTGCAAGAACTTTGAATAGTAGTATCCATTTTGGTTTCAAAATGAAATGGTAAAATACAAATTTGGTCCTTAACTTATTCCATAAAATATTTTAGATTTTAGACCTAAAGTTTTTTCTTTTTAATTTAAAAATCAATTTTACCTAATCTGTATTATGTGAGCCGCGGAACCGATTACCAACACGTAAATTGAGTTTTTTTTTCCATAAAAGACTACATTTTATAAAAAAAATTCCAATTTAGACCTAACTTTTTTTCCAAAATAAACTCAAGTTTAACTTATTTCTTGGAGTCGGTTATCAATATGTAACCTTATATCCCCCTAACACACGTGTATCCTAAGCATAGGTCACCTAAAAGTATAATGGATTCTAAAACCCTAAGTCGCGTTTCAACTTCTTCTTGTATATCATATTGGTCCCCTAAAATGGCTTCTTCTTCAAACATCATAATCATAAAGTTAGTAAGAAATGCGGAAATGGAATTGTATTATTGTGAGGGGAAGCTCATCTATTTACCTCATGTTCCAAGGTGTTTTCACAAGATTGAGTTTGTTTGCAAAGGTTGTCCCAAGGAATTTGTCACAATGTGTGATAGTATGTTTTTGATAGTGTACTGGATAGTTATGTAAGTAAGTTGCTATTTTACCGTTAAACCTATTTTGTTTCAAGTATTTAATAGCCTTTTATAATGTTACTAAATCTATTAGGTACTATATGGATTGAGGATAGAGGACATTAGTTATTTTTTACCTTTGAACCTCCAACATGAAATCGCATCTCTTCAGCACTATATAAATGGAGAATCTCACATATTAGTTGTATACGTAGGAGGGGATCTTTAGTAGTAATTGAAATATTCAAGCATGACTTAAAACATATTCTCCTAACCATCTCTTATCAATCATTTAGAACAACCAATATCCTTAATTTGTCTTTTGGTGTTAATAATGCATTTGGTTGTCACTTAGGCCATATGGTAACCCTGGTTAAATATAATATTCATTGTAAAACGTTGATAAGTAATGAAATACATGAAAATAAATTTATCCAGCCACTTTGTGAAACATTAATAAATGCTTGAGATAAAATGGTGTAACGTCTCATTTCTCATTAAATTATTATATTCGTATTTTATAAATCTAGAAATGAAATATTTTAAAATTTTAAGACATCAACTAATAAATAATAATAATAATAATAATAATAACTAGATGCATGCCCCCGCTACGCGGGGGTTAGATGGTGTGCATATCGTTTCGTTGAAGATTACATTAAAAGTGTAACTGTATGTTGTATAACCTCTTAATGGAAAACAAACCGTCTATGTTGTATAACCTTTTAAGCTGCCGACAAGTAGATGTTAAAAGCTAAATATATGTTCAATGGAAAACAAAGGTGTGAATGATGAGTATGTGTAGAAAAAAGGTATCAAATTGACAACAAAACTTAGACGACTAATTCAAACCAAGAACGCCATACAATGAAAACATAAAGTAAAATACAATCAAAACATAAACTAAAATATTAGTCAAAGATGGTTAAGGGGAAAGCTGTTTCTGGTTGGATTATTTCACTCTATTGTGTATGGATTCTATGATGGAATATGGATAAAAACATAGTCATTCATTATATGGTGGTTACATAGTCATTTATTACATAGATGGTTACAAAAGTGATGGATGTTGTGAGAAGTAGCTAATAAACTTTCATTACAGAAACACATGCAAAAACGGGTTGATCCTGCGTTCGTCATGTTGTTAGGTGGTCCTGGATGATCTTGTTACATATTTTCACAACTGTTGTGATGTTTTCCGGCATCATCTCGAACATGTCAAGCATGAGAACGGTGTCTTTATCGATGTCGGTAATAACCTGGTTGGTGATCGTCGACTCTTTGTACGGTAGCTTATCTGGGGCGTCTTGTAGGAGCGTCTGCATTTGGGTGTTTGTTCCTGTGAACGTTTCTTGAACATCTCCTAAGCAGGTCTTCATTGTGTGGAGGTGTTGGGTAATCTTCAGCATGATAGTATTCATGGTTTTGTTGTGATGTTTAGTGGTAAGGTCGTTTATTTGGGGATGTCATTTTATAGGGGTTGAATGTAGTTGTTGTGTAGTAATAATTGTGGGGCATTTAAAGTTCACCTGGGAAGTGATGTGCATAGGGTGGCTGGTAAGAGGGGTTGACCGTTTTTTTTCCTTTTTTGGCTTATGTAACTATTGGGGGTTGGGTTCATTATTTAATTTTGCATCTAATGTTGGTGGTTAGATGTCAATCTGTATGGAAAGTTTCGATGGTGATGGCAGTAGTAATGGACTGTTAGAAATTAAAAATTGTTTTCTTTTTGACATTCTTATATTAATTTCTTGTGTTCGTATTTAAAATTAACTGTGTTGGTTTTTGTTGGGTAGTATTCTCTTTTTTAAAGACCATATTGAACATAGTAATTATTTATACAAAAATGTATCATCAGGTAATGGGATTTTATTTACTTTCTTTATATCTAATGTTGTGGTTTTTTATTTAGAGTATTAGAATCACAATTTTTTTTTGGAAGAACGTATTGATGGATGTCATTTTTTTTAATGTTTTCTTTTTAGTAATGTGATTTGTAAAATGTAGATGAACAGAAGATGTAAAAAAAAAGGTAGATAACAACTTAGACAAAGTTTTCATACGTAGGGGTGATGTTGGTATTGTTAGATTACAAAAGATGGTGATATTAGGTTAGATAATATAAAGTTTGTTATCTACTTGAGCGCCATATCTTTTATTTCTTTATCTGGTTTTCACTGTCTTTTGGGGTAGCACTTGCCAGATGTTGAACCACTATTAATAGACTGCATTTGGAAAATGTTGTTTGATATGTTAATTAAATGTACGACATCATTTATATACCTGCAAGGTCATAAGATAGAGGATGTGCAACATTTTGATTGGCTGTAGATGATCCCGGTGATGTATTGTTTTGTCGTGCCCTTGTCGTTCTGGTTGGAGTTGGTGTCGTTGGAATTGATGTGTCGGACATTCTTGTTAGTGGGTCATGGTCAATTATTATGAATCGTATGTTTTCTGAAGTTGAAGCTCTAATCATTTGGATGGACATTGTTTTTGTATTTCCTCTCTCGTTAGTTATGTTTACGGGCAGGACGTTTGCATTCGTCATTGGGTTGTCAGATATGAATTTGTCAAGATTTGACCCGAGTAGTTTGTGACACGATGTTTCCGACATGGCTGCTTGTATGGATTCCGTTGCATCAGTGATGATAACAGAGAATTTGTATATGTGGACAATGGATATTTGTCAGCATTGCAGAGGTATAATCAGTATATGTGTTCACTTTTTCTTAAATATGATTACATGTAGTTTGGTTTGTCAATATGTCCATGTGCGCTACAAAACCAATTTTCGCCCCTTCTGAAAATGGGATCTTTGCATATTGTGCATGTTGTCTGGTACCAACTATTTTGGAAGAGAATGTCTTTGATTGATGTGTGCACCAGAAATGTCTTATCCTGTCATCGTAAAGTTATTCCAAATCAATGTATGGAATTATTGTTGTTTATAAAAATAGTTACCAATGAAGAAATGTTACCAGCAGTTCAGATCTGGTTTTCTTTCTCATGTCACCTAGGGTAGACGGTGTGCCTGCTAGTGGTGGCATTGGTCTTAAGGGACCTGTATATCTGACAACATGTTGTTATTAGTATACAGTTAATTTACTGGACATGATGTGTAATGTTTGTATAGATGCCTTACAGGTTTATAAGCGATGTTGTTTCTGGTATGTCTGGGTTGACATAGACATGGGTAGCATGTGATGAACCATGACGTAGAGCCCCTATATATAAATAATTCACATGTTACAAATGTTTGTGGTGAATACATGACAGCTGTGAATAGTGTGTGTATCATGTTGTGTATGGAAATCAGACCGTTATATATGGAAGGCTTTAAGTTGGTAACAGCGACAACTGTTGTTGCTGGCGGTGGCTGCAAGGAGTTGCAGTCGAATTTCTGTGGATTGATTATGCACTCTTTCCATAAATTGATCGCGATTTCACTACCACTAATGGTATTGATAATGTGTTTTGTATTAGGTCGGAGTAAGCGAAGTCGAAAATAAATTTTGTTACATGCAATACGTACCTTTCATCAGTTAAAATCAGCAATACGTATGACTCACCACCCACTTTCACGCAGTCTCTGATTTTTTAGAGGACACCAATGTAGTCTAAGGAAAATTACATTTAATTGTGTTAGGGGTGTGCATTTGATGAGTTGGGAAAGGATGTATGTACCTGGGTAATAAGATGGTATGTCTCCAAGGTCTATGAGTTGTGGCTTTGAGACAAAGTGAAACCAGTTTTTCGGTATTGTCAGTGTGTCCGGAATCTGTTCTATCACAGACATAAGGCCGACATCAATATAAAAGTCATTTTGTAGGAATTTCTGATACTTGTCTAACATGGGGCAACTATAATCCAAGATGGTATAGCAGTGCGAAAGGTTGAGAACAAATTCGATGTAGCTCTGGTTAGTTCGTTGACCAAGAATTTGTATGGCATCACCTTGTTGACGAAAGAAAAATGATATAATGTAAGGCTTTGTATTTGTTATTTGAACGGTATGTTTAATGTAGAAATTGATACATAGCTGTTAAAAAATTGTATTTGAAGATGACTTACAAATCCGTCGACAGCTAGATACCAGGTTTCATAGCGCCTTACGTCGTGTCTCCATTTACGTAGTATTCTAACCTGTAACGGGCCTCCAATACCATCCGTCTTTAGCTCAGAAATGCTACTCATTTGGTCGGCTGTATTTTGTATGTCGAATAAACATATCAAAATGAGTGTCATGTTCGGATATAAATGTAGGATATGTTGCAAACATATTGTACAGGTATGTAAAAATAAATATAACTAAAGATACATATAATAAAATTATAAAAAAAATTAGATAATGTTTTATGAACAGTATAAGAAGGTTTGAAAGTTGTCAGTCAGTAAACAAAATAAAAAAAATAAAAACATATATTTAGATAGCGCTTTATGAAAGGTATGATAATGTTGGAAAGAGGATTGGCAGTGATACTATAGACCTCAGGTGAATTAACTGATGGGATTTAGTCATAAGAACGTCCTATGTGCTCATACAAACCCTAATGCTTAGATCTAGGTTTCTCTATTGTACATGCAAGTTATCAAAGACTATAAACCCTAGATCTAGCATATGATAATCAATATAACATATAATTAGGGTTTAGATCATACCTTGATTGTTATGTAGCAATAACAATCACAAATCCTCCTTGTAATGACTTTAGAAAGCTTAGAGTCACAAATGTCACTCCTCTAATGGCTCACAAACATCAAGAGCAAGAGGATGAAGAGGAGAAGAGAAGGAGGCTGCCCAAAACGGGTGGAAACCCTAGAGAACTAGTTCACCACGTTTTTGGAGCATAAGGGCTCTATATATAGTGAGACTATTAGGGTTATCTAACAAGGAAACCCTAATTTGGATGCTTAAGCCCTAAGCAACCCATGGACTCCTTTCCTTAAAGGCCTTGGACGATTTCCAATGGGTTTCCCCCATAGAATTCGTCAAACCTTATATAAGGTAATCCATAGCCCAAATGCAATTATCTTATAATTACAATTCCAGTCCCTTAAGTTTAATTAATCTCTTTTAGTTACAAAATTAATTATCAATTAATTCTTGACTAATATTAATTAAACAATATGATTTCTCCTTTAATATATCATTCCCATAATATATTAATAAATCATATTTAATCCTTTCTCTCCATAATTCATCCTATCAAGTTGCTTTGGTGAAGGCAACCCAAAAGGACCATGCACCATCGGGTCAAGTACATACCAAAATAGTTATGGACTTAGACACTAATCCAACAGCCTCCCACTTGGATAAGTCTAATAACTATTATGCGTATGATTTCAGATCCTGATCTGCAATCGTAGCTTTCCAAAGCCGTTGTCAACTCTGATCCTATCAGATACGCATGTCCTTTAGATAAGGGATCATATATTCGTCCATTCTAGATATCGTATAAGACATTATTTCAAATCATTCTTTCTGTACTATTTCTCGACTTTCGATTTATGATGACTGACTAATTGAACAAATCAAATTAGCCCAAACTCGGCCGAGCATTTACGTTTGTCATCACTAAATCATCGAGGGGCCCAAAGATATCGCTTTTATCCTACTTTGGATAAAAGGAACGGATAAACTTTGATTCAATGCTCGCTTGCTTTCACTCACCGAATTACACACAACAAATATGTTTTATGACACCGAGTTACTGGTGCATTTACATATCATCAATATGCAACCGACTCGCAAGATACAACTCACACATCTCGGTTTCAAAAATATAAGATGTTATCGTCTCACCAATCACTCGTGATAAAATCCATGAAGTGATCTAAGTGAGCGTGGGTTTAATCCAATGCTCAAATCATATTCATAAGCACTCATGAACGTTGCAGCAAACATTTGCTTATGTCTAATACTCTTTAGACATTCACACACCAATTCATGATAGTCTTTATTCATACCTACTTCCAACATATAAACGACTGTGGCCCATTTGAATAATTTGACTGTTCTTAACCAATTAAATTATTCAGGAAGTCAAAACATGCAAAGTGAAACACAAGGATAATACTAATCCCATATGGCCTCAAACCTTTGAGTATAAACAAAACACCTTTTATTTATCACCATATCGATTACTCATTATTTGTTGTTTCGGGTAATCAACTTTTTACTTGAGTTATTACAACACTTGTCCCATGCTCTTATCATGCACACAATGTTTACTTATGGTTCTTACTTTGTGAAATAGATCAAACAAACACATTTCCAATCATACTCATTTCACAACTCCAAATCCTTTTTCATAAGTGAAAGAATATCAAATTCTTGTCACTTATAGAATATGTTAGATTCTAACATTTTATGCAAAGATCCTTTTGTAATGTCATTGCACTAAAGTCACAATGACTATTGCCAATGAAATTACAAAGTCCTCTATCGGAGATTGTTACAATACAATTCCTTAGATATGATGTCTCTCACTCAAAGTACATTCCTTTGAACATCCTTTTGCATAAAAGTTTCTAATCTAGACATAGATTCTCAATATCTAACTCCCAATATGGAAACTTTTCCATACTTACCATATCACAAATCATTCTTAATAGAATCTTATCTATTCATAATAATGTTGATATGCTCCACCCAATACTATACTTCCAACTACTCACAAGCGACCAATCCTTAGCAAGCTTTGGATCGTCCTTTGATAGTTGTTTAATTATCTTAGTCAAAACCGATTCTATTCCTTTTACCCTCTAAATGTGCTAGACATTTGGAAAATTTTAGAATGATCAAATATTATAGCATTTTCAATCGATCCTATACCCAAAGCGTATGGGACACGATGCATAAAGGTTTGATACTTTATCAATCTTCTGCCACAATATTTTATATGCAACGTTCTCATAATTCGAAATATGATGAGGAATGCCGTAATCATAATCGAAATTTAAGAACGCACAATGTATACTTTGACTAAATATATTAAAATTTCTCAGTCTAAGCTTTAGATATTGAAACGAAGTACAATATTTTCTCCCTTAATTATAGCAAAACAACTTTACATCCTTACTACTTTGCAAAGTATAACTCTTGTTTTCTATAACTAATATTGCTAATCTGCAATACTGGCCTTAATAATCATACAATCATAACATTTATGCTCCCACTATCATGATGATTATTATAAACATAACACTTATGCTCCCACTAGCTTTGACATGTATTCAAAAAACAGCTTAACTTACAGAAAAACAATACCTATTGAATTTCTTAAGTTAATGCTTTGATAATCCTTTATCAAGGCTTCTTAATCTCATACACCTTTATCCAAAATAGCTCATATGTGTCTTAAACAATTAAGACTAATTGCCAAATCTCACAATTCGAATCATGGAGAGGGATACCGTAAGCATAATCAAATTTGAGAATGCAATTTTACAATCACTATCTTCTTAAAATCTCTCTTAGTGAAAGCATTTCCTCACATCCATCTTCATAAAGGAGGAAATCTTATGACACTTAGATTTTAACGCTGTGTGTGTGTTTTTATCCATGCGAATTTGTCAAAACCAAAGTTTGCGACGCATCCAAACTCTTATGGACCAAACTTTCTTAATCTTGATTTCTTTGCCTTTATGGTAACACGCTGCCCACCATGTCTTCCAAGTAGTTAGGCAGTTCACCCTTTCCTATCGATGTACTTTTCATTGATTAAGGTCCTTGCCCTTTATGCATAATGAGAACTCATAGGGCTCACATGCATAATTAACTTAATTGGAACGGCACAGAAATAATATAATGTCAATACGATAAGTTGTAAACCTCAACTCGTGTGCTAGTGATGATCAATAAGGTCTATTTTGATTTGTTCTTGAAACCTTTCAAGACCATTAAGACTCCCACTGACTCCTTGACATATAAGATTCTCTTGTCAATAAACATTTCTTGACAAACAAATATTCAAGAGTTAGTGTAGTTTTTATCAAAAACACTTCATAAATTGGTCCTAGCTGGTCTTTGTCTTATCCAAGACATCACAACTTTCCACATTTGATGAATCTCATAAACCTTCTTAATACTTATCACTCAATGTCACAATCTTAACTCTAAGACTTGTTTTGGAATGAAGTATGATTGACTTCTTGATTTAACCATTTCTTCAATTCTTGATTCCTCTTCTTAGACATACAATTGTACTAAGACTTTCTTAGAGGATCAATTGAGATATGGTTCTTAATCATTAAGATCCATCATAAAGCATAAAAAATTACTTCATTATTATAATTCGTTGTTCGGGTGCTGGCTGATCGTACACACGGATCTACTCTGCTTGTCTCAAAACTTTTTTACTCTTTCAAAAAAAATTACTTCATTATTATAATTTTCCTCAATTCCTCAGTTTGAGTTCAAATACGCCCGAAGATGCACCTGAATCCCTCAAACCAAGGCTCTGATACCAACTTGTAACAACGTAAATTTTCAAAACAATTTTTTTTCATTTTCAAAACATTCATTTACTCAAAAAATAACATCAAACATAGTGTATCAAATGTAATTATCACAAAAACATCTCCCAGGATCCAAAACATAAACTCCTCAAGTATGTACGAATCATGCCAATGCCTTCCCGCGCTTATCACTAGTACCTGAAACACATAACACAACAACTGTAAGCATGAATGCTTAGTGAGTTCCCCAAAATACCACATACAACACATACGCCATTCGAGGCTAATATACGACCTTCCGATCGTTGTGTCTCAGCGAGACCCTCCAGTCCCGTAGCTCGTTGGACCCTCTAGTCCGGTCATAGCTCGTTGGGCCCTCCAGCCCGGTCTATATCGTTGGACCCTTCGGTCCGGTCTATAACATCATGCAACATAAAAATATCACATATCACATAATCTCACGCATAACACATAAGACCCTCTGGTCAATGCATAGTACCACTCCAGGTAACGTATAGTGAGAAGACTCACCTCGATGTCTCGGTAACTCGCAAATCTCGGAAAATATCGGATTCTGTGGGATAAGACCTACCCCGCCTAATCATATGAAATAAGTACTCGATATCAACACATTTCCCAAGGCTAGACCAACCCTTCTCTTAATACTCTTATGAGGATAAAAGACCATTTTACCCTTCACATGGCTCAAATACCCTAATGTTGACCAAACCCTA